TGAGTATCACATTAAAACTTATTGGTCTACGTTGATCTTTACTAGTCAACCCTATTATGTCATTAAAAACGATAAATCTACCAATGATTAATTTTTCGGGAAATATTTTCATCCTATAGACCAGTGGTTCTCAAACTTTTTTGGTGATGGAACCTTTTTGAAAAGCGAAATATTTGACGGAGCCCTAAACACTTTTCTAAAAAAATAGAGGTCCATATATCGTCCTTCCTATTAGCGACTCTAAAAAAACAGGCCTCGAGCCAGGTCCTTCCCCTTTCTTCGCGGAGCCCCAAAATCATATCCTCCTTTCTCTTGGTGATTTATAAAAAAAAAGGTCCTTCGAGCAAAATCATATCATATTAGTGACTTCTAACTAAAAAAAAGGTCGTCAAGCCAAGTTACTCCCTTTTGTAGCGATAGTACTGCTTTTTTTATTATGACTATTATTTTCTTCGCGGAGCCCCCACAAAGGGTTTGCGGAGCCCCAGGGCTCCGCGGACCACATTTTGAGTAACGCTGCTATAGACAAATCAATGAAAGAAATTATCAAAAACATATATTTTTCTTATTTGCGACTTCTTCTATAGATGAACATATTTTTTACTCCTGTGTATATTCGTCGAATGCCAAAAGATGTTACAATTAAATTAGCCACAAAAAATTGCAATTGATTAGCTTTTTACTGGAATAACAGGTAACAAAAAGTGGGTATTTCTTAAGTCAAATCCTGTATTTCAAAAATCTATCATATTAAGGGTGAGATTACAGAACGTCTGCAACTTTGCAAATATGGCGGCAACTTTGCCGATCTGCAAATATGGCGGACTTATATATGCAAGTATCAAGTTTTCGTATTCCAAAAAAGATCTGAAAATTCGCAATATTTATTGTGGTTTATTACCCCCAACAACACTAAACCCAAATCCATTACTAAGTTTAAAAACTCGATAATCTGACACCACAAACTGTATTCAATCAAGTGAAACAGAAAACTTCATGGTTGTAGGATATTCTAACCTTCTTAAGGGTGGTTTTGGAGTTAGTGTTGTTGGACGTAATAAACCACAATAAATATTGCGAATTTGCAGATATTTTTTGGAATACGAAAACTTGATACTTGCCGCCATATTTGCAGATCTGCAAAGTTGCAGACGTTCTGTAATCTCACCCTAAGAAGCTGTAATTTTCGGGAATTTATTTTCTACAAAATGGTTGATACACTAGTACCTTTATAGAACTAAAAGTACAGGGTAATATATCAAATTTTGTTGACACACTCGATAAATTAAATATTAATCTATTTATTAAGGGTGAGACTACAGAACGTCTGCAACTTTGCAGATCTGCAACTTTACAGATCTGCAAATATGGCGGACTTACAAATGCCAGTATTCCAAAAAATATCTGCAAATTCGCAATATTTATTGTGATTTATTACCCCCAACAACAATAAACCTAAATTTGGAATACGAAAACTTGATACTTGCATGTGTAAGTCATTCATATTTGCAGATTTTCAAAGTTACCGCCATATTTGCAGATCTGCAAAGTTGCAGACGTTCTGTAATCTCACCCTAAGGCGGCAACTTTGCAGGTCTGCAAAAATGGCGGACTTACAGATGCAAGTATCAAAGTTTTCGTATTCCAAAAAATATCTGCAAATTCACAATAATTATTGTGGTTTATTACCCCCAATAACACTAATCCCAAAACCATCTATGTTTAAAAACTCGATAATCTGACCCCACGAATTGTATTCAATCAAAAGGAACAGAAGACTTCATGGTTATTAAAAAAAAAAATTAAAGTACTAATAAACCACAATAAATATTGCGAATTTGCAGATATTTTTTGAAATACGAAAACTTGATACTTGCATTGTACGTCCGCCATATTTGCAGATCTGCATAGTTGCCGGCATATTTGCAGATGTGCAAAGTTGCAGACGTTCTGTAATCTCACCCTAAATCACCAAGTATTCAATAAATTGGATAGTTCCACATTATGATAGTATTATAAAAAATACACAAAAATCAACTACAAATACATTAATTAAAAAAATCTAATCACTCTGTATAAAGGGAACCTAAAATCTTTTGTATTACCATTAACAATGATAAATATAGCAATAATTAATTTTTTGTACATATTTTCAACTTCTAAACAATGAAAGTAATCAAAAAACTTGTCCTTACTTGTTTACGATTCACCCTGTAGAGACAAATATTTTTAGACTCCTGTGTATATTCGTGGAGTGTCAAAGGATGTTAAAATAATAGCAGATGCACAAAATTATAATTGATTAGCTTTTTCCTGTAGTAACTGGTAATAAAAAGTTTAATACCCTGTATCTCAAAAACCAATCAGAAAAAGCTATAATTTTGGAAAATATCTTCTACAGGATAATTGATACGCCAGTGAAAAAATATATCTACTTTTACAGGACTAATCAAAAAGTATAGAGTGCTTAAAAAATTGTTTTTTGACACATTCGATAAATTAACTATCAATATATTTATTAATTCATCCTGTAGTCAATGAATTGGATAATTATACATATGTTAAATACACAAAAGTCCCGTAAACATACTGTGTTTCACATTAATACTAAAAAATATATTGGCTTATGTCGATATTTGCGAATCACCTTGTATAAATGACACCCACTATTTTTGTATTAATTATCATTAGACATAATAAATATAGCAATAATTTATTTTTTAGTAAATATTTTCACCTTCTAGAACAATAAAAGTAATTATCAAAAACACGTTCTTACTTATTTGTGGCTCACCCTGTAAAAAAACAATTTTTGACCTTTTTTATATTCGTAGAATGCCAAAGCATGTTACAATAAGAATTGGCACAAAAAATTATAATCGATTAGCTTTCTTCTGAAATAACCGTTATCAAATAAGTGGTATTTCTAAGTTTAACACCCTGTATCTCAAAAACCAGTCATAGGATTTAAATGGTCCGATGGACACTATTGCTTAAGAGGTCGAGACAACATCAAAAATTTATGAGATTTAACAGGTCGCCATTTTTCCATAAGCGGTGTGCGGGGTCCTTTACGCCGCTCGGGTATATGGGTGATTCTCGCCTAACTGTGATTTTTACAACTTACATTTTTCTAAAATTAAAAATGTTTCAAAACGTATGTTTTACGCGTTTTTGTTTTTTATTTATGCATAGAAATAAGCCTGTAAAGTGGTTCTACTACAGCTACGACACAATGAAAACTGTGACAAAATTTAAAAATTTTAATGCCACGGTACTGACATTATTTCCACACTACTGTCATATAAATGATTATTTTTTTTTACCAATCCAAAGATTGGTATAAAATTGCAATACAATTCAATGCAGTATGCATTAGATTGTAGTTATAAGAGGTAAATTTTATATTAAAAAATGAATTTTGATAGAAATTTAAATATTTAATTTTAAAAATGAGAATCGGACATGCCACGGTACTGACATTTCGAGTATATTTATATGCAGCTTAAAAAAAAGTACGAAGGTTTATGATCTAATTCATAATGTCGGTTGTAAAATACCTCTAAATTTATAATATTATTAACTTTTTGATGAGGAAAACTTATGCTAAACGATAAATAAAACACTGGACATAAAAAATCACAGTTAGGCGAGAATCACCCATATAGGAGATAAAATTTTACGAGGAACAGAATGAATGCACTACACTGGGTTTTCAGTCGAAGACGGCTTGTTTAAGAATTAACACAAAATCAAGCTTGCACGTCGTCAGCAAATTTTCGAGGTTTTCGACCGGCTTTTGCAAAAATATTATTCTCGACAGTGGGGAATACTATACGGGACGGTCGGTTGTAAAGCTTCCTGGATCAGAGGATATTCAGGTGATCCGCAAATGGTTCAACCAAGAGGTTTTACAACGCTAGATCGCGACAATTTAATTAACAATAATTAGAAGAAAAAAAATGATCTCGTCAATTTAATATTAAAAAAAACTGAATGTTATACCGGGCGGGGATGCAGAGCTTTCCGGGCCAGAGCCTATTCAGGAGATCCGCAAATGGCTCAACCAAGAGAGTTTTGACAACGCTAAATCGCGATAATTTAATAAGATAGAAAAAAAATAAATGCTCAACTAGAGGGCAATACGAGAACGGCAATTTCGCATGGAAGAAAAGAACAAATTATATTGAAAGGCGGCCTACCTTGGTTAATAATCGGAAATACTGGAAACTAAACGGTTTACTAACTTTGTAGCACTATAACGGTGAAAAGCTTCGGAGCAAATGCCAGACACTACGGTGGTCAAGGACTCAAGGAGTGAGTTTTTCTATTTTTTGCTGTCCTCTTACGTATGCCTTTTTAGCTGAAGCGCTGAACGTCGACCAGTTCGGAGTGGGAGAAGCCACCACTAGTTTTTGGACTGTTTACTAGTAATAACTACAAAAAAATGACCCTTGCACATATTCGCAAATAATTTTGATAATTTTATATAAAATTCGGTCTTTTAATACAAACATGATTTTGCAGTACAAATGAGAATATTTTAAACTAAGGGGGGCTCGCTCAGCTACTGCGAGCAGACAGTGACTAGGGAATCCAACATACGAGGGACCTTTAAAGTGTACTTCCACGGAAATTAATAAAAAAATTACATTTTTATAATTAATTCAAATTAAAATTTAGTGACTTCGTCACAATCTAAACGCGACATTTTATAGAGATTCTTGGTTTGTTTAGTGAAGATTGCGTTACGATTGCTTTTTTCGTTCAAGAGATACTTATAGTTGAATTACGATTTTTATATGTATGGAAGCCTTTTAGGTTGGTGAGTAACATTATCATCATCATTTTTTGGTTGGTAAACATCATCATTATCTCGACCCTTGGTCTTAGACAGATTCGGCCATATGAATATTTCTCCTGCAATTTCCCCTGCATCACCTAAAATTGTTCATACGGCATCCTCAATGCTTTTCTAAATTTGGTAATAAAATAAGATATAAATCAACATAAAATTTTTATTTAAAACAATTATTAAATAAAATTAACAGGTTTCAATCTAAAAAAACTATTTGCGACTTTACTCAAGCATTTTTTCATTAATTCGTCCTTTATTTTCTCAATTTTTTTATTCACATATTCATAGTTTTCATTCTTGAAATCTTCAAATTCAGCTGGCATATTCAAATCCCGATACAAATTATTAATTCGATTTATTGACACGTGGTCTGGTTTTCCATAATGTTCTAGTAAAACCCTTTTTTGATTACCGCTGCCCTTTTCCAGTGATTTTATTGCCAACCATGAACATAGTCCCAGTCTGGTATTTAAATTTATCGGACTTTTGTCAAAAGAGTCCAAATAATCAGCCTGAAAGATACAGAATAGGTATATAGTCCAATCAAATAGACCTTTAATTCTAAATTTTGGAGGAAATACAGGAATTTTTGATATAAGTCACTTTAGAGTATTTGAAAACGATAGGTAAAAAAATTTTGTTTTTCAGGCACCGGCAAATGTCAAAAAACAAGAAAATAAAGTGTTTTTTAAGGTTATTTAAAAACGGTGGGTGCTATAAAAAAAGTTTTTAATAAAAATTGTAAAGCATAAAGTTTTACATAAAAATTATATTTGACATTTTTTGATATTATTAAAACTGACAGAGTTAGGGTGGTTAGAAATTAGGAAGAGATATACCGGGTGTTCATTTTAAAGTGTTACAGTCAAATACCGCCTAAAATATGCATTTTAGAAAAAAAAGTTTCAGACAAAAGTTTTATAGTTTTTTGGGGGAAATATTTTGGCTAAATTCATTTTTTTGTAGTTGGCCATCATATGGCCATATCGAGGTTGACTTTGTTTTTTTAAATGGGAATCCCATTTTTTTTTTACATATTCTTAAAGTACATAAAAAAATAAGAAACTTTTGAGGGAAATATTTTTTTTATTGGACTTTTACTTTTTGAGTAACAGCTACTTGAAAATGTTGCTGCGCGAAAAAAAAGTTGGCCATATTATGGTTAGCTATAAAAAACGATTTTAGCCAAAAGTTTTTCCCCACAAAACTATAAAACTTTCGTCTGAAACGTTTTGTTTTTTTTTTATAAAAAGCGGTATATAGCTGTAACGCTTTAAGTTGAACACCCGGTATATGACTTGGAAAAATCATAGCGAGCTGAAAATTTAATGATTTTGTAGTTTCTTTTTATTATTTTATTATTTACTCAAAAAATTATAAATTGCTTCTATGAAAAAAAAATTTTTTGTTTTTTTGAGTTATAACAATTTTAATTTAGAAATTTTCAATACATTATATGAATTTATATGGTAAAATAAATTTTGAAGTAAACTTATTAGCTTGACTGATATGAAAAATATGAGGAGTGAACTTATAAAAACGATATCCCGACAGTTTGGTCCCCACTTAAAATTCTATTAAATAAATAAAAATAAAAACATACAAAAAATAACTAAATAAAAATATTAAAAAAATAAAAACAAATATAAAATATTAATAAATATATAAATAAAATTAAACAAAAATAAATAAAAAGATAAAAGTAAAAGAAAATAAATAAAAATATATAAAAATTAATAAAAATTAATAAAAATTAATAAAAATAAATGAAAATTAAAAATAATTAGAACTAAAAAAATAAATTAAAATAAATAAAATATAAAAATAAATCAAAAAACAAACAAAATTTAAATAAATAAAAATAATAACAAATAGTTAAAAAAATAAAATAAAAATAGGTAAATTATTTAAAATAAATAAAATTAAACAAAAATAAATGAAAAGATAAGTACAAAAGAAAATACATAAAAATATTAAAATAAATAAAAATAAATAAAAATAAATAAAAATAAATAAAAATAAATAAAAATAAAATAAATAAAAAAAATGAATAAAAATAAAAAATATTCATTTTTATTTTTTATTTAGCTTTTATTTTTTATTTAGTTTTTATTTGTTATATATAAATAAAAATAAATATTTTTTTATTTTTATTTTATTTTTATTCATTTTTATTTATATATAAATAAATAAAAATAAATAATAAATAAATAAAATTGAACCAAAATAAATGAAAAGATAAGTGTAAAAGAAAATAAATTAAATTGAACAAAAATAAATAAAAAGATAAGTGTAAAAGAAAATAAATAAAAATAATTAAAAATGGATAAAAAAAATTAAATAAAAATGAATAATTTATTAAAAATAGAAATTAAACAAAAATAAATAAAAAATAAATGAAAAGATAAATGTAAAAGAAAGTAAATAAAAATAAATAAAAATAAATGAAAAGATAAATGTAAAAGAAAGTAAATAAAAATAAAGAAATAAAAATAAATAAAAAAAATGAATAAAAATAAAAAATATTCATTTTTATTTTTTATTTAGCTTTTATTTTTTATTTAGTTTTTATTTGTTATATATAAATTAAAATAAATATTTTTTTATTTTTATTTTATTTTTATTCATTTTTATTTATTTATTTTTATTTTTTTTAATTTATTTTTATTTACTTTATTTTACATTTATCTTTTTATTTATTTTTGTTTAATTCCTATTTTTAATAAATTACCCATTTTTATTTATTTTTTTTAACTATTTGTAATTATTTTTTTTTTTTTTACTTTTTTTTTCTTTTACATTTATCTTTGCATTAATTTTTTATTATTTGTTGTTTTTAATTTTTTTAACCTTTTTTTTAATTATTTAAATTTTTGTAAATTTCTTTAATTTTGTTTTATTTCATATTTATTTATTTTTATTTTTTATAAATAAATAAAAAATATTTTTTATTTTTATTTTTTTTTATTCATTTTTATTTATTTATATTTTCATTTATTTTTATTTATTTTTGTTTAATTTCTATTTTTATTGAATTAGCTATTTTTATTTAATTTTTTTTAACTATTTGTAATTCTTTTTATTTTTATTTATTTGTTTTGATTTATTTTCTTTTATACTTGTCTTTTCATTTATTTTTGTTTAATTTTCTTTTTGATTGTTTTATTTTTATTTATTTAAATTTTTTGTTTACTTTTTAATTATTTTTTTAAATTTTTTTTATTTATTTTTATTTATTTTTATTTATTTTTATTTATTTTTATTTCTTTTCTTTTACTTTTATCTTTTTATTTATTTTTGTTTAATTTTATTTATATATTTATTTTTATTTTCAATATTTTTTTAATATTTTTATTTTATCTTTTTTATTTTTATTTATTTAATGGAACTTCAAGTGGGGACTAAACTGTTGCGATGTAGTTTTTATTAGTTCACTCCTCGTATTTTTCATGTCAGTCAGGCTAATAACTTTACTTCAAAATTTACCATATAAATTCGTACAATTAATTGAAAATTTCTAAATTAAAATTGTCATAACTTAGAAAAACAAAAAAAATATGTTTCTTAAAAGATATTTATAATTTTCTGAATAAATAATAAAAAGAAACTACAAAATCATTGAATTTTCAGCTCGCTGATTTTTCCAAGTCATATAAATCTCCTCTTAATTTCTAACCACCCTAACTCTGTCAGTTTTAATAATAGGAAAAAATGTCAATATCATTTTTATGTAAAACTTTATGCTTTACAAGTTTTATTAAACACTTTTTTTATAGCACCTACCGTTTTTAAATAACCTTTAAAAAGCACTTTATTTTCTTGTTTTTTGACATTTGCCGGTGCCTGAAAGACAAAATTTTTTTCACACATCGTTTTCAAATACTCTAAAGTGACTTATATCAAATATTCCTGTATTTCCTCCAAAATTTTGATTTAAAGGTCTATTTAATTGGACTAATAGTAGAAGGTAAGGCAAGAACAGAGAAATTAGAGCAAATAGAACAGGAAAAAGAAAATAAAAGAAGTCAGTACGGAACACACAGTTAAAGAATCTTTAATTGATTATTTTTAAGATATATTATTTTGTAAATGAATGGCCACAAATAAAATAACTTACTTCGACCTTTTTAAATAAACCTATATCTATTAAAATATTCTCCACTTCCATAAATTCTCTGAGTTTCTGATCATCTGTAAGATACCAAGCAGATATTACTGGCAAACTGCAAGAATTAGAAGCTATTTTATACTTGGCAATATTTTTCAATAAATTCATATCAAAATTCTCGACAGTTTTATTAACCAATTCGAGATTATGTCCTTGTAACGAATCGTAAAAGGTCTGGTGAAATAAATCCAGAATTTTAATATAATTCCGGTGTTTGGAAAAATGTGTTTTTAGTAATATAAATATTGAATGTTCCAATAGCACTGCATCGTTTGGAGTTTGAAAACAGTACGTAGTGTCTGTGTGCCAAGTCTTGGTATTACTTCGCGTAGTCGTATTGTCAATTGCATCTCTCTGCATAAAAAGCGCACCCTGTATCTGAAAAAGCATATAGAAAATTTAAAATGTCTTTCAGATGATGCTACTATTCAAAATATGAGTGTAACAATAATTTTGAACAGTTTACATTATTATTTGACTTTTGAAGAAAACAAATCAACCATTGTGTTAGTTATCTGGATAATACAATAATCGCATCCATCTTGGAAATACTACCTTATAATTAAAATTTGCAATCTTACCATCTCTGTTAGGCATCCAAGCCAATGTGCAAGTTTTAATTTTTCATCTGTCAAATTTTCTGTTTTTTCCAAAACTTTATAAGCCATCAACAAAGTATGAATCGGTTCTAAATTTCCTACTTTCGAAGGATATTCCATAAGATTGATCATTCTAGTTTTGAAATCGGAGAAATCGGTGCACAAATTGATTTTGTTTATGTCGTTGACAATATCTTGAGAAATTGCGCAAATTTGTTTAATATTTTGTCGAGGTAGATCATAATGGTAACTTGTTGAAAATTTTCTGAAATTTCTTAAAAAGTTTTTTTAAGTGAAATTATAATTTTTGTTGGCTGACCCTGGCTTGAAAAATATGAGTTCTGAATTGATAAAACAAACGATACATTTTGATATCCTGATAAAAACATTCAAATAAGTTCAAATAAATTCAAATAAATTCAAATAAATTCAAATAAATTCAAATAAATTCAAATAAATTCAAATAAATTCAAATAAATTCAAATAAATTCAAATAAATTCAAATAAATTCAAATAAATTCAAATAAATTCAAATAAATTCAAATAAATTCAAATAAATTCAAATAAATTCAAATAAATTCAAATAAATTCAAATAAATTCAAACAAATTCAAATAAATTCAAATAAATTCAAATAAATTCAAATAAATTCAAATAAATTCAAATAAATTCAAATAAATTCAAATAAATTCAAATAAATTCAAATAAATTCAAATAAATTCAAATAAATTCAAATAAATTCAAATAAATTCAAATAAATTCAAATAAATTCAAATAAATTCAAATAAATTCAAATAAATTCAAATAAATTCAAATAAATTCAAAAAAATTCAAATAAATTCAAATAAATTCAAATAAATTAAAATAAATTAAAATAAATTAAAATAAATTAAAATAAATTCAAATAAATTCAAATAAATTCAAATAAATTCAAATAAATTCAAATAAATTCAAATAAATTCAAATAAATTCAAATAAATTCAAATAAATTCAAATAATTTCAAATAAATTCAAATAAATTCAAATAAATTCAAATAAATTCAAATAAATTCAAATAAATTCAAATAAATTCAAATAAATTCAAATAAATTCAAATAAATTCAAATAAATTCAAATAAATTCAAATAAATTCAAATAAATTCAAATAAATTCAAATAAATTCAAATAAATTCAAATAAATTCAAATAAATTCAAATAAATTCAAATAAATTCAAATAAATTCAAATAAATTCAAATAAATTCAAATAAATTCAAATAAATTCAAATAAATTCAAATAAATTCAAATAAATTCAAATAAATTCAAATAAATTCAAATATGCAAAATTTAGATAAGATAAGGTTTTAAGTCTAATACCTTTTGTTAAAGTCCAGGGAATTGGTATAAAGGCGGTAAGACAGAAACAGAAGTTTTTGACTCAAGTCCCTATTTCTTGACGTTAGAGAATTGTAATAAATTTAAATAAATCAAAATAAATTAAAATAAATTAAAATAAATTAAAATAAATTAAAATAAATTAAAATAAATTAAAATAAATTAAAATAAATTAAAATAAATTAAAATAAATTAAAATAAATTAAAATAAATTAAAATAAATTAAAATAAATTAAAATAAATTAAAATAAATTAAAATAAATTAAAATAAATTAAAATAAATTAAAATAAATTAAAATAAATTAAAATAAATTAAAATAAATTAAAATAAATTAAAATAAATTAAAATAAATTAAAATAAATTTAAATAAATTTAAATAAATTAAAATAAAATAAATTAAAATAAAATAAATTAAAATAAATTAAAATAAATTAAAATAAATTAAAATAAATTAAAATAAATTAAAATAAATTAAAATAAATTAAAATAAATTAAAATAAATTAAAATAAATTAAAATAAATTATAATAAATTAAAATAAATTAAATTATTTCAGAGCGAATTCATCTAAGTAGTTTCACTTCTATCGTGCGTTCGATAACACACTCTTTTTATTTAACTGTTATTTTACAAACTCCTTGTATATCACCAACGTGGGATCAGGTATCAGACTATCAGAAGAACATTGATGGAGCGGTTAAACTTTGAACTCTTCTCAAGGACAAATGGTTCATTTCGGTATATACACCCAAGAGCATTTTTCGTGGGCGGAACGTGGCTACCACGACTTTAGAAACTTTAAAGTGTATTGCCAAAGGTTCTGCCACGTAATAGATACGGTTCTACCACGTGGCGGTAATCAAAACGGAGAACACTTTCTTGGTGGCAACCACGTTCCAGCCACGTTTCCGGAACTTATATATTAGAGAGTTGAAGTGATGTTATGAACGTAAACGTATACGTGAAATTTGACTTCTGCGTATGCGTATTAAAATATCCTTCACGTATACGTCTACGTTCATACGTAAATTTACGGGTTCTGGCGTCTACACGTAACTCAAACAAAATAACCTCTTTTTAATTGGAAAAGAAGAAATCCCAATATAAATTGTCATTATTTGTCATGACACAGCTCATATTTTGTACTGCAACGTAAACATTATTTTTCTGCGTTCACGTTTACGTACTGGAAACACTTCAACTCTCTAATCACGTTTAGGCCACGTGGCGAAAACGTGGCAATAACGTGACGGCACAGTGGCCGACACTAAACGCTGAACTTTGCTTACTGCCCTTGTCTTTTGATTGATATTTGTAGCTCAGCCTCCGTCCTGCAAATTATTTCTCCCATTCTCCTTGCTTATTCTCTAACTTGACATAACTAGTAAACTAATAAGTAGGTACATACTGAATAATAATAATAATGTGTTATAAAAATATTGATTCAGGAATTCTGATAGGCAAAAAGTTGGAACGATTGGAAGTTTACTGTCAAATACTGGTGTTGTAGCTCGAAATATGGGCACGCGCCATTGGAATACTCTATATTTAATTAAAAAGTTAAAATCTGTATATTTTTCATCTTCGAAATTATTTATTTAGATGCCTTAAAAAGTATTTTTTATCAATCTTGGTTAATTAAAACCATTAATTATATTTGAATTTTATTGCATTGAAGCTATACGGACGACAAATTTTTTTTTTTAAATAGCACCTTTATATTTTCTCATAATGGCGATTTTAAAAATGGTTACAAATATTTCTGCTTCAGGAAAACAACTTTAAAGTTGCAGAAACTAAAAATAGACACTTTGTAGTTACTTTCATCAAATAAGTGGCAGCTGGAACTAATCCAAAATATTTTTCACCATTTCAAAGTGGCGGTTACGTGGCATCCACCTAGTGTTTGTCATAAAGTTAATTATTTACATTGTTGCCAGATCAGCCATTTCTCCACTTATTTCAGAGTTTTTGAGTTGTTCAATAAGGCCAATGTCAGGGGGAAAAATCAAATTTACCTTAAATTACAAATATCCGTCATCCATCAACCTAGATCAAGGTAATGTAAATTTAAAGCAATTTTAATCTTGAATAGCGTAAAACGGCTTAATCAAATATTAAGGTACAGTAATCGCCATAGTAAAAAATATATAGGGTTCCCATTTTAATTCACAAAGTTGATACTTGTTAGTTACCTTTCTGGTTACCGTTTATCTTAATAGTAATTTCTAGTAAAGCCTTATAACTTATGCATTTAACAATTTATTTTATCTCTTTTAATAAACGTTCTAAAAATAACTGAACACCCTGTACAAATATAGTGTACATTCAAGAAGATTGTGGGAAAAATTTGTATACTATATCTTCTCAGGGAAAGTGCGCTCTGATGATATCGCAACACTGTATTAGTTGTATTATTTCATATAACCTTAAAATTTACAGTAGATTCCGCCGGTTAAATTTGTTTATGTCACAGATGTCTTAAATTTATGTATTTAATGTTTTATATTGTGTTTGTGTGCACACCTTAGATTTAGATATAAGTTTTAAAATTGTATCGACTCAAGAAAAGAGGGGTGTTTGTTTCTGCGTTGTTCCCGACATGTGGGAAAACGAAGGAACCTTATTTTGGCCAGGCCATTTAAATTTTTCGCAACGAGAAACGTTGTTGTTTCCCATTTTACACACAAATGAACTCTAGATAAGTCTAAAAACAAAGTAATTTGCGCACAGATCGACGACACTTTGGTAGTTTTTTACTTTCCTATCTGTATACAGATAAGGAAAGTATAGGAATCATGATTTTTTCGACTTCCAGTTTTCGACGGATTTTTACGTTTTGGGGTCCCCTGAATCTGTTTCGACTATTTTCGCGATGATGTCTGTGTGTGTGTCTGTATCCACCCTATCTCATGAACCGATATAAAGAAAAACACCAAATTTTAAACTTAAGCTTTATTCCGGCGTCCAATGAACTGATTAGATTTTGGGCAGAGTCGGAACATCTTGGGGGTACTTTATAGATGGTCATTTTTATATTTTATGGAATATATTTGTTATTTACGTTTGGAGAAAAAAATTCTTTAAATAGAAGTTACTTATTATTTTTTGTTTTATACAAAATTTTCCTAAAATGGTCCGTATTCGAGAAATTTTACAAAATGTAAAAAAATATTTTTTTATAAAAATTGTTTAAATAAAAGTTGTTTGTAATATAATGCTCTATAATTTTAATCCTATACATAATTTCTCTAAAACGGATCGTATTTAAGATATTTGTTATTTATGTTTGGAGAAGAAAATTGTTCAAATAAATGTTACTTCTAATATTATTATCTATAATTTTTGCTTTGTGTCAAATTTTCCTGAAATGGTCCGTAATCGAGAAATTTGACAAAATGTGCAAAATTCTGATTTTTTAAAGAAAATTGTTAAACTAAAAGTTGTTTGCGATATCGATCTCTATAATTTTTGTTTTTACATGATTTTTCTAAAATGGACCGTAATGGAAAAATTGGAGGAAAAGTAATAAATTTAAATTTTTCAGTATTTTCGTTTTCAATGAATATCTATAGAAAAATGTTTCGAGTTAGGTGTATGTGGAAAATGTATATATTTAGTTTACCCTCTAAACATTTATAGAGGTGCTCCAATAGGTTGTACAAAATAACCGGAAAAAGCCTATTATAACTAAATAGGAAAATCATGTGTTGGACACATCAAATTTTTCTTTATTGTAAAGGCGGAAATGTAGAAAGCAGACCACGGTTCAATGTGAATTTTGAAGGTAATAGTAACTTTGAAGTGGCTTTTGTTCCACGCAATATGTGGATATCACTTAAGAGCGTGGTAAAAACGTGGCAAGAACTACTGCAGTTATACAATCAAGTGCCGCCACTTTAAAGATATATTTATGGTTAATAAAACTATCAAACCCACTTTAAGATTACTGCCACTTCTAGGTGGTATTTAAGTGATAAGTGATATGATTTGGTAGCCGTAACTACTATTTTCCACATTCAAGTTTGTGCAACTTTAAAGTGGTCCCGCTTAGTGGCTATAACGTTTCAAACACCTTCAGAGGCAACTAAATAATATAAAACTTTGAAGTGATTCCCAGTAGTGAAATACACGTGGCTACAACTGGGAAAATATAAAATGAAGTTATTCTCACTATATAGGGGCATATTTAGTGATTATAACGTAATAGTCACTTAATCAAAGTGGCGATATAAGTTTCTGTCACTATAATGCTTCTTATTAAGAATGGGACACAGAACAACTGAACATCATCTGATTAAAAATAAGAGAATTAAACGAAACGTGCTTTAATAAAATATTATTCGTTTCTGAAAGTTAAAAATTCATAAATGATTAATGTCTATAATTTTTTCATTTCTTAGTATAATTTTACTAAATTCGGAAAATATTTTTGGTATCATAAGATACACCTATTAGCAAAAAATCAGTTAAATAAGCTTTGCCAGTGGCGTACGTCATGAATAAGTAACACCTTCATCCCCTCTAAATGCATGCGGGGATGTTTCGTTTATTTGTTTATAAAGCAATAGATGCCAGCACAGTCAGCAGAGACACAAGAAAACAGGAGGAGGCAGGAGGTACGCTTGTGGTAGCGTGCATATATGATAAAAACCATCTTTTTATAAGTTAGATTTAATCGATTTATTTTCGATCACAAACTTAAATTTACTGCACATCTTTTTGTTACACCCTGTATAAATTGGGCCCAATCGACTTATTTGGACCTCTACAATACATGGTAACTCTATGTCCCAGAAATTTTGGGTATCGGATAATTTATTTGAACTTCGGTGGTAACATTAAAATGTTAAAGATTTTTTATATTCCGAATTAAAGAACAAGAAGACAGGAATACCACAAGGTATTTATTTTATTTCTTTTTAGATATTTCCCAATAAAATTTTATCCAAACTTGATAATTTATATTAGTCAATATTTTCAACATATAATGATTTTGCTGCCTGATCTTTTGAAATGTTGTATATATTGAAATATATGAGGAAAAATTGGTGTATTTTTTTAAAGTTATTAACTAGTTGATGGTGGGTGAGGTTTTCCGGGTTTTCCTCACCTGTAAGTCAAATGGCACCATCAATCATCTTTAAGTCGCCCCGGAGCGCCACGGCAAATAATAATAATAGCCGTCCCTTTCCCCGGACAAGCTCAGCTTTTGGGGTTAAAATTCACTCGTAAGGGGGTGAATTAGGGAGAGTATTATTATTATTATTATTATAGTTCAAAACAAGCGGGCTTTACATCTATCAATTTATTAATTCATAACGAAATTGAGGAATAAGATCACGACGGAAACAGTTTTAAATTTGTGAATAAATTCATGAAATTTAATGTCACATATGTCATTTTAACAAATGTATCAACATAAGAAACAAAATTGAAAAAAAAAGAGAGGGTAAGTTTATTACATATAGCGTACTTATACAGGGTGTCACCTGTCCCCGAATAGACTAAAAAAGAGGAAAAATTGTTTTATTTTCAATTTTGAAAGAAAACGTCATTCTTCATGTTTTTTTTTTTAATAATAATCTTTAATAGAAGTTGAATATATTTTGCTTTATTGAAATAATGCCAAAAATAAATATTTTTTTACATTTCTGTTTTCTTTTTCAATCCATCCGGGTATAAGAAGTCACTTTTAAAGGCAAGCGCAATGAGTTTAAAGATTAGACTTAAAGATTAACTTACCACATGCCAAGGTTTGTCTTATAGGATACCAAAAGTAAAGTGATGCGAGAAAATCATGGTTCTTAGGGCAGGTTATACAAAGAATGCCATAAACCCAGTTTAGCTAACAGGAGTTTAATTTTTAACTGGTTATTTAACATACAATATACAAATGTCATTTTTAAAACGTTTAACAATAAATGATGATTGTATAACGAGGGAAACAGTTTAAACTAAGATTACATTTTAACTGCCTATTGTACAACCCGCCCTAAATGTCTTAATATAACAAGTTAAAAATGCCAATGACATTTCATACGTACCTTTTTTGAGTATTTTTTAAAAAATTGTCAAATATTTTATTTTGAATAGTTTCTAATTTAACAAGTCTTCTGAGAAACATTTTTCTTTAAAAACACACGATTTTAACTTGAAACTTTTCGAACAATATTAATCCAGTTATTTTTTATGGTTAACTAAGCTGTTAATATTAATAAAAAAAAAAACAATTATCTCTTTAATGAGACAGATTACATAAAAATAAATTGATTATTAAATTGGTTTTACTTTAATATAACCTGACCTTTATAAAATAAATATTAATTCGAAAATAACATTGTGAAAATATTTTATTATGTTATATTAACAATCTCTTTTTTCATTTCTTGACTAGCGTACATTTTTGCAACTTCTCTTCTCGTTTTAACTAAAATTCTATGTCCCTTACAATCTAAATTTTCTATATAACACTTGTCTTTGCAACACTTTTTGCACAGCCTATACAAACACTTTGAACCCTAAAAATTAAAGTAGAATTAATTTTGTCTTCTTGCTTGAATCTTAGATAAAAAAAAAAAAACAGTAGAAAACATACAAAAATAGTTTTATGCAAATGGCAAAAAGTTTCTTGCATTTCATAAAAATAGGGGAAAGTCGGGGAATGCCGACCATTTAAGCGAAAATGTGCGTTACTTCTTCGCAAGTGCTGTTTTATTTCTCATATTTTGTGGATTGATAGGGTAATAAAAGCCGTTTGAAATAATACATCTAAAATTTACGTACAACGCTGTTTTTTATTTTAATTTAAACCAAATAGGAATGTTCATTTTGGTCGATTTTAAGCTACGTGGTGGATAAAATCGACTACATAATTGGGTAAAACCGAGCACGTCGTTTAAAAACGACCAACTGTCTGAAACTTTTGCAAATTTTAGCACAATGTAAAATAACTATTATTATGCAAACAACAAAACATTAAGCTAGACTATGACAAAGAAACATAAATTAACTCTTATACTTCGCAAAAATGACAAATATAAAGTTGATTCGGTTCAATACCAGCACACTCCGCATGTGAAGATTTTCCGCAGACACAAGTGACCCACTATTCGTTATCTTTTCTAAATTATTCGCGCAGACTATGGAAGGTTCTGTCGCAATTTCTTTTACCTTTTTTCCTTTTATTGATTTTTGATTCTTGCATTGTTGGGAATCTTCTTCCAATTTTCTTTTAACCGCCGTGGTTTTATTTAAAGCTTCTTCTCTTTTTTTCTTATATTCTCCTTGATTTCTAATTCTTCTTTATTCGGTGTAATTGTAAATTTCGTTTTTTTTTCTATTAGAGGGTTTTAAGGATCTTAGGACACGAGGAACGGGCATTAAATAAAACAAAAGAAATATTGAAGGTCTTTTTCAGAAATATTTGCAATTTCTTCTTTTTTGCTTCACATACTAGCTGCTTTACCTCATTCAGCATTTCATTATTTCTATTGTTTTGATTTTCATCTGCTTGTTCTTCAATTTCTTCCGTACTCACAAACTCACTAGCTGCTATACCTCATTCAGCATTTCATTATTTCTATTTTGATTTTCATCTGCTTGTTCTTCAATTTCTTCCGTATTCACAAACTCTTCTGTGCTAATAACGTTTTGGTTCAGAGGGTAAATCCCCGTAGTCTCGAAACCTTTAACAGCTTTTTCTATCGTAGCTGTTCTATTAAAAGCCTTCTTGAATAACTCCGCTACATCTGTTTGGTCAATTTTTTGATATTGTTTTGTTCTGATAAAATTATTACACTCCTGATTGTAAGCAGTTTTAAGTGGGCCGTAAGCCCTCTTTCACACGAAGATACTGTATGCCAGATACACGTATCCGAGATACAGGATCGCAGTCGAAAACTTGGGCTGCTGTATCGAATTCACGCATCTCTTCAATCAGTACTAAAATAATCGCAGTGCCGTGCGTAGATTTTTGAATTATGGATCTATAAGAGTGTATTATAATGTGGTATATCATTCATTATCATTTGAAGCAACAAATGATGGCAAAGTAAAAATTTATCATCATTTAGAAAAGAAATATCCCATATTATATTATGAGGTTTTCTTTGACATATGAGGCAAAAATTATCTATTGCTAGAGATTGACAAACTCAAAAATCGTTAACTTAACAGTGACATCACTGTTTTAAAATCATTTATTTGAGCGCTTTCAAATTTTATGACGTAGTATTAAAACTGGTTCTAAAAGTTGTTGAAAATATTTTTAAACCAATGATACCGCTCGAATATGGCTTTTGTGTGCTTAGCGAAGTGAACTAACCAATCATAAAACAGGTCCTCGTTAACCCAGCCGTTTTGTATATTGTATTAACTGGTCCATTTTTCGTAAGTTCGTTTCATACGAGCTCTTCCAAATAGAAACATGGGTGGCACATAATCCCCTGCCGCACTCATCGCACAAATAACAGTTATTAGCTTATCTCTTTCACCACTGGTAAGCGCACCAACTTGCTTTTGGCCTGTTTCGTCAACATTGTATATTCTGTTTAGCGAAAAGTTGAATTTCTCGTATTTTTTTGTATTATTAGAAAAAAACACAGCAACCTCTCTTGCATTGAAGCCCGCTTTCTATTTAGCGATGTTGGCTCTGGTTTTCTTAATGAAATATTTTTATTATGACGCAAAAATCCATAATACCAATCCTTGCCGCAAGTCTTCTTTTCTTTATTAAAATTATTAGGAATGCCATTTACTGCAGCATATTGAAAGGCAAGTTTCATTATTTGCTGCCCAGTTAGCCTATAAAACAACTTTGACATCTCGAGGACGTAATTATTCAACTATTTTTCTTGCTCGGCTGTCAAAACACTGGAGCTACCCAGTTTCTTATTATTTATTGGAACTTTACCAGGAAAACGGTCTTGAAGAGTTCCATAAGGAATATCGTACATTTTTGCTGCACGTCTTTTACCAAGACCACCTTTAACAGCATTTACTGATCTGTTCATATTTTTTAGGTGCCACCTTGCCCGTGTTGTTTTACGTGTATATTTGAAGGGCATAATTATTTCTAAAACAAAGAAATAAAAATGTTCAGTCAACCATGCGGATAATACCGACCACCAAGGTCAGCTTTACCCGCCATGGCAAGCCATTTTTATTTTGTTAACGAAAAATTGTGTATAAGATTAGGAACGAAAAAAATGGTTGCTACATAATCATAAGTATACTATTCAAGAACACATACCTATTTCTAATGTTGACAATATTATTAAACATACACAAAAACACGTTTATTCACTTTAATGGCCGCAATGTACTCGGAAGCGATTGCGCGTAGGTTGCCGGGACACGAGATATCAAGTATATTTGGTGGGGAGCTCGTTGGCGCTTATTTCAAGTAAGAAACACCGTGGTCGGTATTCCCCACCTGGTCGCTTTTTCCCCCCTTTCCCCTATTCTTGATAAAATGTTCTGTATCAGTTGGAAATCCATAATCAAGCATGAAATTGGTAAAATTAAAAATATTTCCAGTACACTCTTTAGCATTGGTTTTGGATTATTTGTTGAATAGAAAATCTAAATCGCTTAAAAATAAGTGCAATTATTTAAACTTTATATTAAAATTAGTATTTTACTCTTCATTATAAATCATTATTTTTATTTTTTCTGTGTACAAAATTTAATACTTGATTATAGATTCCCAAGTGATGCAGAACTTTATATAACGATATATTTTTTTGAGAAATGTAAGACAAAACTTTTTCCCAAAACTTTTTGTGACTCACTGTATATTTTTCGCAATTTGTTCTGTAATTTTTTTGTAATGTTTAAATATTTAATACTTACTAATGGATTAACACATTCTGTACATTTCTCCATACTTCTTTCGTGCATATTTTCCGGCTTTTCAGGCCTTCTACTAATTCTTCTTAATCGTTTCATTTTCTTTCTACTTATTGTCCGTCCTTCGGAGTCTTCATACTCTCTTTTGTTGTCTAATTTCTTAAATCGAAAAAAAAAGTGCGTTAACATTTTAACAGGGAAAACGTCAGCTGAGCACTGCATTTAAATTATCAGCGAGATGAGTTTCTCCAACCAATCTAATGACAATAATTATGTCATTTATTTTGTTTAGTTTTTTTTAACAACGCTGCTTTAAATAATAAAAATGAAATATCTCAGCACAACCTTTAAAAAACATTCATTAATATTATACTTTTTCATTCAAATGTATTGCAATCTTGTAAACCTTTACAATAATTAACGGTAAGATAAAAAAAACCACATTAGTAGCTCAAAATGTCCTTAAGTACATAAGTCTTTTGAGCTATGCTGGCAGAAATCATTTGTGAAGTGATATTATTAAACTCATTAAATATCATATCCCGTAATTGATTTAAGTTATTCGGAATACAGTCATAATTAACTTTATTTTTTATATATCCCCCATACAAAATAATCTATAGGATTTAAGTAGGGAGACCTAGGCGGCCATCGAATAGGTCCATGTGTAGTTTAGTTTCTTTATTGGTAATATTACACAAAAATAGTGTTTTTACAAGTCGATAGAGAGCAATCGATATCTTAAAATATTTAAGTACTAAAAAGATTAGATACTTAAAAAGATTAATACATACTTATGATTAGTTAAAAAATCATGATTCCTATACTTTCCTTATCTGTATACAGATAGGAAAGTAAAAAACAATAATAAAATGTAAAAAATGAAATTACTATTTAGGTACTCTTCAAAGGAATAAAATACATTCTGGATGAGGTATTTTTTATTTTTTGCAATAAACTGTTTTTCTTCCACAGTTTTGATCTCTGCTGGAAGAGCACTGAAATTTTGTATTGCATAATATTCTGTGCCTCTATGTGTTCTTTCTAATCGGTGATATCTGTATTTCTAGTTGCCATAGAATGGATACTCCGTGAGTTCTAAAGAGCTCTTGATTTTGTTTGATATATTTGTCAAACAGTTTAAAATGAAAATTCATGGAAATGTTAGAATTTTTAGTTTTTTAATAGTATATTGTGCAACAAGTGCAGAAAGTAACCAATTCCACACGATGTGTGAAACTTGTGGCACGAGCGAATGCGAGTGCCACAATCACACGAGTGTGGAATTGTTTTTCTGCACGAGTGGCACACTATACTTTTTCTACGACCACAATGGCTTAAAACACAAATTAATATATTTTTTAATAATTGGATGATCTTAATAATAAGATATATAGAGCTAGTGATCTAGAAACCACCGACAACAAGTCATATCAAAGAGAGAGAAATAGTGCTCCTCCTACGCCCAATATAAGAAAGGCTCACGAAGGACAAGAAGAATTTACTAATCCCACAGTTGAAGAAAATAAAACACCCAAGAAACATTTTGAAAACATTATCGAGGCAAAGGAAAAAAACAACTCCAAATCAAAAACCACCAAGACCACACACTCTTCACTCAACAAAAACGAAACCAACCAGCAGACAAGGGTAAAAGAAATAAAGCATAGAACGCGTTTTGGTAGTAAGTCCTAGATCTTTCTGTTTTTATAATCTTTTGTTTTTACTTTCCCTTCTTATATAATTTATCCAATCTTTCTCAATATTAAAGTTTCTTGTTTTTATTTAAAATGGATCAATATATTCGTGACATAAATTATGAGCTTTATAACACAGTTGAATGTTTTAATTCTATAGATGTTAACATATTTTTCAAAAATAATGAAAATAATTTTAGCATAATACATCAAAATATATGTAGCCTAAATGCACATTTAGACGAGTTTAAAATAATGCTAGAACAAGCTGCAATTTTGATTGTATTATACTAACAGAAACTTTTCAAATACAAGATATTGATCTTTTTAATCTGGATGGTTACAGGACATTTTATAATGAGGGACAGTTAAATAAAAATGACGGTGTAATTGTATATGTAAAAAATGAATTAAATACAGATGGCACAATTATTGATATTGGCAATTCAAAGGCATTAGAGATAAAAATTGATCTGCATAATAACAAGCACATTTTATTAACTTCTATATACCGCTCTCCATCAATTACACCTGAAAACTTCATTTCGAGTCTAGAAAATTATCTTGAACAAATAAACTATTTTAAACTGGATTCTCACCTATTAGTTGGTGATATTAAGGCGGCGTTAGCAAATGTATTAGCATAGGAGAATTTTTCAACATATAAGACGGGCTTTCTAGACAATGAATTTATGCGGATTTGCTTTTATAATATTCTAATAGTATTGAACTAGTTCCTGAATATATTTTAAAGTGGAAAAAAATTGAGAGAATGAAGAAAATAACGAATTTGTGAAAATTTTACATGTAAAAAAGTCATCAAAAATCGCTATAAAAACTATTTCAGGAACTAGAATATATTCCCATTAGAGGCTCCGCATAAGAAATATTTCATTTTTTGCTTTCATTTTCCAGTCTGCACAAAAATTTTTAATTTTAACCCAAAAAACGCAACCAACATTACATAAAACAGGTGTAATCCCTGTAATTTTAGGTTCAGGCAATCTTATATAGATGACGCCACCTGAAAATATCAAATTTATATCGAGCAACGTTGTCATATTGTTATGAAGTATCGGAAGCAAGGAAGTTCGTTATTTTATTACAAAAATTAGGTAAATTGTGTTAAGTCTGGTTTTGGAGAAACATTTAAAACGTGTAGAGATTTTGTAAAATGTTTCATTTTTATATTACAAAATATAAGAACGTAATTTGTCAGATATTAAATATAATGTTGAGTTTTGTTTTTTCTGGCTGGATTTACGTGAAAATTGGAACAAGATGCATGTGAAAACATCGATCCTGGCCTTTCAAATGCATTTGTGGATTCACAAATTAGTTGAGAAGAGTTAAAAGTAAGAGCAAACTTTTAAGCCAATTTATATTCTTAAAATCAACTGAAAAAGTACTTAAAATATTTATTGAAAATACAATAAATTTATCACACTGATTATTGCAGCATAGTTTAAATTTTATTATTATTATTATTATTATTATTATTATTATTATTATTATTATTATTATTATTATTATTATTATCTCTTCTGTATTTTTGTTTACATTGTATGTTTTTTTACTTTCCTATCTGTATACAGATAAGGAAAGTATAGTAATCATGATTTTTTTCGACATCGATTTTTTGACGGATTTTTACATTTTGGGATCCCCTGAATCCGTTTTGACTATTTTCGCGATGCTGTCTGTGTGTGTGTGTCTGTATACTCGATAACTCATGAACGGATAAACAGAAAAATACCAAATTTTAAAATTAAGTCTTATTCCGGCCTGCGGTGAACTGATTAGATTTTGAGCACAGTTGGCACTTGGGGGTACTTTATAGGGGGTCATTTTTATATTTTATGGAATATATTTGTTATTTACGGTTGTAGAAGAAAATTCTTTGAATAAAAGTTAATTTAAATATTTTCTACAATTTTTGTTGTATACAAAATTTTGCTAAAATGGTTCGTATTCCAGAAATTTGACAAAATGTAAAAAATTCAAATTTTTATGAAAATTATTTATATAAAAGTTGTTTGTGATACAATTTTCTATAATTCTTGTCTTATATATACATAATTTCTCTAAAGTGGACCGAATTCGAGATATTTGATAATTAGTGTAAATTTAGAATTTTGAAGAAAACTCGAAAGCGGATAAAGAAAAAACATTATTTGTTAAATTGAAGCGTTATTCCGACCTGTGGTGAATTGATTAGATTTTGGACAAAGTCGGAACATCTGGGGACGGGGTTACTTTATGGGAGGTCGTTTTATATTTTATTGAATATATCTGTTATTTATGTTTGGCGAAGAAAATTCTTTAAATAAAAGTTACTTTTAATATTATTCTCTATAATTCTCACTTTTTACAATTTTTTCCATAAATGGACCGTATTCGAGAAATTTGATAAAAGGTGCAAATTCTGATTTTTAAGAAAATTGGTAAACTAAAAGTTGTTTGCAATATCGATCTCTATCATTTTTGTTTTTTACATTATTTCTCTAAAATGGACCGTAATCGAAAAACTGGAGGAAAAGTGTAAAATTAAATTTTTTCAGTGTTTTCATTTGCAGTGAATATATATCGAAAAATGTATATATTTAGTTTATCCTTTAAACATTTACAGAGTTGCTGCAATAGGTTGTACAAAATAATCGGGAAAAGCCTGTAATAACTAGATAGGAAAGTCATGTGTTGGACACATCAGATTTTTTCGTAAATGGTTAATTTAAGGTCAATAAAATGAATTATTACTATTACTTATTATTGACCGTCTTCACCGTCGTCAAACATGTTTTGCTTACAACTGTCAACAGTATCAATTGCTTCACTGCTTTTTAAATCATGATGGATAAATAATAGAGCGAATAGATTATGCTTTTATCCTTAAGGCCTACTTAAGCATAAAAGCATAATCTATTTGCGCCACCACAAACAAGAACAAAATGAAATTTAATAAACAAACTCAGTTGATCAACTGCTGGGTAACGTGTAACTACCTATAAAAACACTAAAAAAACACAAAACAATGATAACTAACAAATAAGCTCAGACTGGATGAACAAAGAACTACTTAATAATATACGAACCAAAATAGATTCAAATGTTTATATTACATTGTCCTAAAAGTTTTATTCTGGTTCATAATAGTATATTATTAAACGAGCAATTTATGGTAGCCATTATTCACGCAGGATGACGTTCACCCGAGTGTATAATGGCCATAAATTGCGAGTCTAATACTATACTTTGTTCACGACCATTATGGTTTCTTTATTAAATAAAAGTTAAGTGTAGAATGGAAAGTTTTTATTAAACATAGATAACTAACTGTTGTTTTTTCCACTTTTCAATTTTCGATTTTTTGATTTATCGATTTTTTGATTTTTCGATCTAGAAAATATCGTTATGAAAAGTATCGCCTATCTTTAGTTATCTACCGGAATGTGCCAGAATTACAAAAGCGTGAATTATCATAATTCACTCCGTGATATATGGGTACTATATGCTTTTAGTTAGGAGGTAGAATATTGATTTATTATTAAGTGGTCGTGGACAAAATTATTTAAATACGGTCCCTATAGGTTCAATATTCTAATGTTATAGTGTTTGTCTCGTCCGGCGGTACAATAAAATGTTACGAGCACTTTAGATTTGGGAGGGAGGGGACGCTTGTCGGGTCGCCGGAAAGTAGTTTACACAACTTGGCAAACAGGCAGGTATAATTCAACATTTTAATTATTTCGCAGAAGTGCATCTAATCGCCATCTATTGACAACTTAGTTAATTTGTAGTTTTTGTTATGAATTTCCTGGCGTGCAAATTCCGTCTTAATATAAACATTAAAGATGAAAATGACAATGTTTCAAAATATTTAAATTTACTATATGAATATAATCTACATTCTATGATAAATAAATACACGCGCATTCAGAAAAGTTCACGCAGCTGCATAGACCATATATTTCTCAGGGCAGGGTCAAAATTTTCTTTCGACGAAGCAATTGCGGCTGTATATGAAAATAACATCACGGACCACCGAGCTACGATAATCAGTTTTCTTATAATAGCTAAAACTAAATATCTTAAACAAAAAATCCCAAGAACTACTAAATATCTTAAATACATTCCTAAAAAAATACACAAAAATAATAAAATTAAACACAACCAACCAAAAGCGTCAAAATTGGATAACAGCAGGTCTTGTCCGGTCAATAAACCATAAAAATAAATTATATAAAGAACATCAACAAAATCCAAATGATGAGCAAAAAAAAACATTTATACGTCAACTATCGTAAAAAGATAAGAGTTAATTAAAATTACAAAACGCAATTACTACCGAGCCGAAATACAAAATAATTCAAATAATACAAAATATTTATGGAATCTGGTCAACAAAAAAAAATAAAAAAAACAATAATATTAATGAAATACTCACAAATTCGGACGAAAGAGTCAATGATAAAAAAGATATTGCGGAGAAATTTAACAATTATTTTGCTTCGGTAGGAGAAAACCTAGCATGAAAAATATCAAGACCAACAAATCCTCCTCCAACCCGGAAAAAAAATTGTAACACTTTTTATCGGTTACCAGTGACTGACGAAGAGATTAGAGAAATAATATTGTCACTTAAAATAAATAAAGCACCGGGAGTAGATAACTTGAAAGCAGAGTTATTTAAAAAACTGCATAATGAGCTAGTCAGACCCATTGCTGATCTCATAAATTTGATATTTGCTAGTGGGGTCTGTCCTTCCATATTTAAAACAGCTATAGTTACTCCAATTCATAAAAAAGATCAAATGTCCAATTATAGACCCATATCCCTAATTACTACGTTGGCTAAAATAATGGAGAAAACTGTAAAGAAAATATTAATGGACTTCATAGACAAACATAAATTATTGTCAGAGCGACAATATGGATTTCAGAAAGGATTATCAACAAATGATGCAATTAAGACCTTGGTCTCCTCAATATATAACTTCATTGATAAAACCGAACCAACAGCAGTACTGTTCCTTGACTTAGCTAAGGCGTTTGATACTGTGAGTCATTCGCAGTTGTTAGACGTCTTGGATGATGAAGGGATACGGGGACTCCCATACAAATTTTTCGAAGACTACTTAACTAACCGAAAACAACATGTTAGGATAAATGGAGAACTCAGTAGAGAAAAAGTTGTATCGTTTGGAGTTCCTCAAGGTACCGTACTGGGACCAATTCTCTTCAATTTGTACATTAATGATATATTTTCTTTTAACTCTTCGGGGAAGGTAATTGGTTTTGCAGACGACACTGCTGTAATATATAGTGACAAAACGTGGGAAAATTTAAAAAATAAAATAGAAACTGATGTAAAAAAAATATTTGATATATTTAGACACAAAATGCTTACGGTTAACTACAACAAAACTTTATAATAAAATTATTATTACGGACAACAATATGGTTACTGAAATTTCTTTAAAATCTGAAATTAAATATCTTGGTGTAAAAATAGATTCACATTTAAGATGGACCTCACACTTATCGGACGTAGCTAAAACATTAAGGTTTTTATTATACAAATTTAAATATATTTTAAACATGCAATTTTCGTTTACTGTCTAGCACATAGACTTAATTTGGTTTTATCGCGAAGCATGGATAATATTAAAGATTGCAAAGTTTTCTTTTCGACGCTTAGTGGTTTGGCATCCTTCTTTTCAAAGTCATCGAAAAGAACTCGCGCTTTGAACATTCACGTTCAAAAAAGGTTTCCAAAAGTTGCTTCGACGCGATGGAACTACAATGGACGTTTAGTGCAAACAGTGTTTCAATACCGTGATTCTTTGATACACTTTTTTCAAGACGTTTGTGATAATAAAGAAACATGGGATGCTGAAACTGTTACTGCCGCTAAAGGGTATTTGCATTGGCTCGAACAAAACTTTGATTTCAATTTTTTGCTCCACATTTTTGCAGATATTTTCCCTTTTACTGACATTTTATTCGACATTTTACAGACAAAGTCAAATGACATTGGCTTCTGCATTAAACAAATTGATGATTTTAAAAATAAAATGAATAAAAAACGAGATCAGTTTGAATTTGTGTTTAAAATATTATTAATGTCTATATATTTTTATGATATTTCATTTGCATAAGCAAATACAAATTATTTCCCAGTATTACCGATTGAAGACTGCTATTTTAAAAACGTTACAGTATTCTTTAGATTTTAGGTTTTACAAATTTTTAGGACATAATAAGTCGGGAATTTATGAAATTCAGCCTAAAAGTAGCGTCAAACCCATTTTTGTCCTGTGCGACATGGTAACCAAAGGTGGAGGATGGACTGTAATTCAAAAAAGGTTCGATGGATCAGAAGACTTTTTCCGTGAGTGGCGAGATTATAAATTTGGCTTTGGAAATCTTCATCGAGAGTTCTGGATTGGACTCGAAAACATTTATGAACTTACAGGTTGGTTTAATAAAGTTTTTAATTATTGCCAAAAAAATTTCTTTGTACCTTTTTTGTAGCTCTCATAGATATTTTCTACAGTTTAACTATTTTTAATTTTATTTATCTCTCTTTAAGTTAATTTATTCTGAACACTAAATATATAGAAACAACTATGACAATGTAAGGATATGGATTCTATTCTATATTATTCCTCCATTCTTTTATAACATTTTAATGCTTGCTTCTTTTAAAATTTAATTTTTCTTTATTTTTTCTGAAAGCGTTTACTACAAAACACAATTTTACAACAGTTTTACTTGCAGGATTCCAAGTAAGCGAATTGTTAGTAGAAATAACAGACAGAGACAAAATTAAAGCCTACGCGAACTATAACAGATTTGGAATAGGTCCGGAAACAGACGGATATCCTTTAAGTATCCTTGCAGGATTTTCTGGAGACGCTGGAGACTCTTTAACGCCACACTTATCTTCTAAGTTTTCTACAAAGGATATAAATCAGGACAGACATGCAATCCATTGCGCTCAGGTATATCGTAAGTAAAAATTGTTAAATGAAATATTCTTTGTAACTTTCTAATAAAAATAAAAAAAATTATATTAAAAAAGTAGGTAAAATGTAAAATTTAAAGAAACGGTAAACCAGAAAAATAAATTAAAAATGTTTTACAATTAACCTGTCTTAACAACTATGGTTATTGGCACGATGAAATATTATGAGCTATAATATACTGGGTAGACAATTTTAAATTTTTAAATTCTAAATTAAATTATATATGTTAGTATTCTTGATAAAGATTAAGAATTTATTTTTTATTTGTTTAGTTGGTGGATGGTGGTACGCAGGCTGTCACGTAAGCAACAACCTGAATGGAAAATTCATCAACATGGCTCTTCCTGAAGCATATAAGTTCAAGGGTCTCCATTGGTTGGGATTCAGAGGACACGAGTACTGCCATGCTGGATCGAGAATGTTAGTCAGACCAGTTCAGTCCTAAATTACTGTAGAATATTTGATCAGCTAATCAAAAGCTTGTTTCATGTTATGTTCACTTTTGTATATTATTGTATTATGGTAAATAAAGAAAACTCTAAAAGATTTATCTTATTTTTGAAATGAAACATACGGAGTGGCCCAAAAGTCTGGAAACGGCGAATTATCTCGTAAATTGCTAATCCTAATTGTACAAAATTTAGGATACACCTATTTTGGGATACGGTGATTCCAGATTTGATATTTGCAATGTTGCCAGATTTGCCGTTTCTCTTAAATTATTAGTCACTTTGGTTTTTCAAATTCATCACCCTATATATTCAGTCATTATTGGAATCTCATATTCAATACGAATTCAACCATATGTAACACTTATGATTTTATGTAGTCTGGAAGGTCTTAAATAAATAAAAGAAGTCTGGCAATTGAAAGATTATAACATTTTTAACATAATGGTTACTTTATCAAGTGTTCAAAATGTGCTCCATTTGTGAGTTGACTAATCAGCCGTTTCCAGACTTTTGGGCTACTCTGTATAGTTCTCAATATCTAATCAACTGTCAAGGTATTTAATATTTTTAAGGTGTGTCATTTTGTGTAATTTCAAGAATTTTTTTTATACATTTTGTAAGCTTGAGAATGAGATTTGTCATGTCTGGATAACATTGACTTTAAATTACTTTGCTGTTTACATAATTTAGTCTATAAATAACTATCAACGTTTTTAAAGCTCGAAAACTTCCATAAACATTCCTACAAAAAGAGTGTTTAAAATTTTAATTCCAGGTTTAAAAAATTGATAAAGAAAACTTACTAAATGCTTCAACAGGCTTTCTAGAAAGATGCTATTATTATTATTACGGACAACAATATGGTTACTGAAATTTCTTTAAAATCTGAAATTAAATATCTTGGTGTAAAAATAGATTCACATTTAAGATGGACCTCACACTTATCGGACGTAGCTAAAACATTAAGGTTTTTATTATATAAATTTAAATATATAAGAACAATACTAAACTTACCACATCTAAAAACGATTTACCATGCACTTGTGGAATCACGTCTCAGATATGCCATCATAAGTTGGGGAGGTACATTGCCAAGTCATCTAGAACAGGTCGAAATCCTACAGCGAAAAATTTTAAAAATTATATATTGTAAAAATATAAGATTTAACACTAATCTTCTTTTTAAAGAAGCAAATGTAATGTCTTTAAGGCAGCTATATATTTTTAGTCTAATCATTCATTTATTTCAAAACCGCACTTACCTACAAACACCTGGCCATTATTATCATACTAGAACTAAAACAAAAGATTATATACAAACAAATACTGCTAAAAAAACCATAGGTACGAGATATTTCGATTTTGTAGCACCCCGCTTGTTCAACTTCCTACCTGATATGTATAAAATTTATATAAGAAAACTAAACTCAACTTATCTCTTAAAATCGATTTTTAAAACTTATATAAAAACATTAGGATCTAAATAAATAGATAAAATAATTGAAAATGAGTAAAAAAAAACCAAAATAAATATTTAAAAAAAAAAAAAAATTTAAGATCAAAATAAAATAAATGTAACAAACTAAAGACTCCGAGAGAATTATGTATACTAGTTTTAAGTCTAGTGTAGAAAAAATTGTATATTGTATTATATTATATTTTTAAGTCGTCCGTGTACTCCATGCTCAACCTTTATGGTCTTGATGGATTACACTGATAAACATTCTTAAATTGATTGTTATGTATTCTGTATTTGAACAGTATGTTCTGTCTAAAAATCTGATGTGTCCAACACATGACTTTCCTATCTAGTTATTACAGGCTTTTTCCGTTTATTGTGTACAACCTATTGCAGCATCTCTATAAATGTTTAGAGGATAAACTAAATATATATACATTGTCCACATACATCTACCGCGAAACATTTTTCTATAGATATTCATTGAAAATGAAAATACTGAAAAATTTAAATTTAGCACTTTTCCTACAATTTTTCCATTACGGTCCATTTAAAAAAAATCATGTATGAACAAATATTATAGAGATCGATATCGCAAACAACTTTTATTTCAACAATTTTCATAAAAATCAGAATTTTGCACATTTTGTCAAATTTCTCGAATACGGACCATTTCAGGAAATTTTTACATAAGACAAAAATTATAGATAATAATATTAGAAGTAACTTTTATTTGAACAATTTTCTTCTCCAAACATAAATAACAGATATATTCGATAAAATATATAAACGGCCTCCCATAAAGTACTCCCCCAGATGTTCCGACTTTGTCCAAAATTTAATCATTTCACGTCAGGCCGAAATAAAACTTAAGTTTAAAATTTATTGATTTTTTCTTTATCCGTTTTTGAGTTTTTTCAAATTTCGAAATTTACACATTTTCTCAAATATCTCGAATACGGTCCATTTTAGAGAAATTATCTATGGGACAAAAATTATAGAGAATTATATTACAAACAACTTTTGTTTGACCAATTTTTATAAAAAAAAATATTTTTTTACATTTTGTCAAATTTCTCGAATACGGACCATTTTAGGAAAATTTTGTAAATGACAAAAATTATAGATAATAAAATAAGAAGTAACTTTTATTTAAAACATTTTCTTCCCCAAACGTAAATAACAGATATATTCCATAAAATATAAAAATGACCACCTATAAAGTACCCCCCCAGATGTTCCGACTCTGCCCAAAATCTAATCAGCTCATTAGACGCTGAAATAAAGCTTAAGTTTAAAATTTGGTGTTTTTCCGTGTATCGGTTCATGAGTTATGCGTTATACAGACACACACACACACAGACACACACACACACAGACACACACAGACATCATCGCGAAAATAGTCAAAACGGATTCAGGGGACCTCAAAACGTAAAAATCCGTCGAAAACTCGAGGTCGAAAAAAATCATGATTCCTATACTTTCCTTATATCTGTATACAGATAGGAAAGTAAAAAATGAAAATGATATAAACTGCAATCGTAAAATATACTATTACTTTTGTTTTTAATCATTAGATATTTATTTAAAGATAAAATTACTTAAAATGGATAAGAAAAAAAAAATGTTAATGGGGTCTATTCTGTAACAATTCCTTTATATTTAACGGCCTTTAAAAATATTTTCTTATTTACTTCTGTCATTATTTAAACGGATCTTTAAAATACATTAGAGGACTATCTTAAAAAAATCTGTTTAAATAATGACAGAAGTAAATTAACGAATACGAACATATTTTTATAGGCCGCCAATATTTTTAAAGGCCGTTAAATATAAAGGAATTGTTACAGAATAGACCCCAATATCAAAATAAAATAAATGCAATAAACCAAATTAGAGTAGTGAACATTATCTATATTTATAGGTCTAGTGTAGAGAACATTATGTAAAATATTTTTAAATCATCGGTGTACCCCATGCTCAACCTTTATGGTCTTAATGGGCTACACAGATGAAACATTTTAAATTAGTGTCATGTATTTGAACAATATGTTCTGTTTATTTAGTTGTATTACTGTTTGTTTTATATATGATGAAAAATGTAAATTATTCTACTCCTAAATAAACGTTATTATTATATCACTTTTTAAATGTGTACTTAACATAGTTTTTTTCATATATTTCGTGGACATCGTCCCGGTTTCTCCTGTTTGTGCCTCAAATAAAATAAAATAAATTATTACCACTATTAATTTTGTTTAATAATTCACTAAACTATTTAAACGTATTTGAATTTTCTTAAATTTCAATTACAAATTTATTTATTATAAAAATTAATATTAACAACATTACAGTTTGAAATATTAAGAGGTGGTAAATCATGACCTTGGATGGTTTTTTCATGTATTGTTTCTGAAATAAATATTCTGCTAGTAGAAGCTTCAGGTTCTTCACTCATATTTTCTACAGAATGTAGAATTGAATTTGCGATATCCATTTTATGTGATAAACTGTCATCGATGTATCCTTCCGCGGTTGTAGTTGACTTCGATCCGCCGTGTCTTTTAAGCTTTGTTATATCTGCTCCAGAATTAACTAGAATTGTTGCGGACGAACGGCGAAAACAGTGGCTTGTATAATTTTTGTGATCTGGTAACTTCAAATATTCAGCAATTTGTTGTGCCATATTTCCAAATTTATTGATTCCTACTGGTTGCACTGTGCGCTTGCCCTTTTGATAATTCGTAAAAAAATAATCGTGAGGTATATTTGAAGGACGAAGAGTGTCATATTTTTTAAATATTGCATAAAAATCTCCAGTAACCGTAAACTTTCTAGGAACTTTAGTTTTTGTCTTTGTTATATTGACTATGAGCCCATGTCTTGTACGTCACACATTTTTAAATTTTTTAATTCTTCTCTTCTACATGCTCCCATTATTCCCAAAATCAGAGCTGTCTATAAAATAAAATTTAACATGAAAAAATATTAATCTCTCATATTATTAAGTATTTACCTTCATAAGTAGATAAACATCATCGGAAGCTTCATTTAAAAATTGGTTGATTTGTTCAGGTGTAAGTATTTTAGACTTTTTTGCTACATATCCTTCAGACTTTCTTTTCAGAAACGAGCGCAATTTTTGATAGCATGAAATATCTACATTTTGCCTTATTGACAATGTAGATAACATCGAGTAAATTGACCATAATGTAGAAGATTTAAAAGATTTCGATTGCTCACCAAAATAAGCCATTAAAATAGTTTCTGAAAAGGAGTTCACCTTATTTTGTAGTCGCCAATCCATAAATCTTGAATAAGCTAAGTTGTATTTTTTCGCCGATATTTGAGGCAATAAGTCTTCTGTAATGTTATTCGCTATTTCTTTAATATGTGGTGGAGTATTATAATTAGTATCACTATTATTACTATCACTGTCCATTTTATTATTTATAGTTTTCAAAAGTATCGAAATAAAATAAATTAAATGTCAAGATTTGAAAGTGGCTGTGTTAAATGGGTTGAATTCGGCGGCAAAAAAACAAAACCTAATATCATTTTCTTCGCACAATTCAATAACTCTGAGCGACAGATGACTACATAAGTTATCGCCAATGATTACCCTTGGTGCCGAACGTCTTTTCAAGAATGGTAGAGCCAATAGAAATAAACCATTCTTCAAATAATGGCTGGTCGAACCAGCCACTTTTATTTCGTCCATAGCGCGC